GCAACGGCGCCCCCCCCGGCCTAGCCGCAATCTGCACCGAGGCGTTAACAATACACCCAAGAGCTCCGCTCCGGCGACGAGACCGATGAGCATCGTAATTGTGCCAGGGGAGAACGTATCAACAGAGAGCCTAGGCGATGTGTCACTTGCAGGCATGGCAGAAAATGCTTTTTTCAGGGATCGACTGAGCCAGGGAGGCTCCCGCCCTGCTTCACGCCTCACAGAACGCCTTTCTCTCAACACCAGCCCTAATCGACATCCTCACATGGGTAGAAGGTGTGATTAGTGGCGGCCTTGCCGCCACAACAACCGCTCAACCTAAAGAAAAAGACAAAAAAAAAAATTCACGCACTTCACGAGTCCGTTGGCTTTTACTCTTGGGTCGAGCTCACACCGCCGGCCTTCCAGTCTTCTATGGTATCACCTTAACCTTCCCCGGATCTCGAGAATGGAAGTCAGCAGTCCGTCCGCCCAGCCGCCCCGGTTCGGCCGTTGTCAACGCCGGATCATCTTCGGTCCACCCGCAGGGCCTCTTTGTAAAGGAGTGGGGAACGCATGAAGGTGGACGGGCAGATCGGAAGCGTCGGCCAGCTCCGGAGTACAGGCGCGGCAGAGGGTCTGGCTCTCTACTACCAGGGGATCCTTCCACTTCATCGTGGTGTCACCGGAAATTGGCACCTAGGCTTCGTTACGGCCCCATTCCCCAGTGACCCAAAGTCAATTAACCCTGTCTCTGTCCGCCTTCGTCTTCCCCCAGGTCTCTGAGGGTTCATCCCACTTTCATGTGGGGACGACTGAAGCCTGGTAAAGGAAAGCCCCATGGTTCCGCAGCCCCCAAACCCCCTCCACCCCCCCGAATGCTCGACGGCGGCCTGGTCTATACGGTCAAGCGCCTGTTGGCGGTCCGGAACAGAGGAAAAGGGAGACAGTTCCTGGTTGACTGGGAGGGTTATGGACCAGAGGAACGCTCCTAGATCCCATCAAGATTTGTTGAGGATCAAACTCTCATGAATGACTTTTTTCGCCAGCACCCTCAAGTTCCTGGGCCGTCAGGAGTCGGCCCTAGAGGGGGGAGTACTGTCGTCTCTCGCAAATTATGTCAGTTTAGTTAAAGTGTTTTTGTCTTTGTCTAGTGATTTTCCCCTTTATTTTTGAATAGTAACCTTCCCTCTCGTTTCAGATACTCTGACCTCCCTTCCTTGTGTGTCTCCCACTCCTGTGATTGTCGACCACGCCCCTGATTGTTTCCACCTGTTCCCCATTACCTGGTGTATTTATTGTCCTCGTCTCCCTTTGTCCTGTGCCAGTTTGTTTCGGTTCTTGTGACAGTCTACCAGCGTATCATGCCAGGAATAATCCCAAGCAGAGCTTTGAGCCACGTCTTGTGTGAGTATTTGGTTATTCATGCTCCTAGTGTTTTTCCTCATTAAGAGTGACTTTGTTTTGATACTGTTTTTCTTCGTTAAGAGTAAGTTCAAACCCGTTTATTCAGTCGTAACAGTGACCCTCATCTTATCAGATATGGCAAAAGTACACACATCCTTTACTCAAGTAGAAGTAGAGATATTCATGTAAAAATACTCTTGTAAAAGTAGAAGTACTGACTAAACTTAAAGTAAAAGTAAAGAACTTTGAAATGTACTTAAGTAAAAAGTACCCATAACTACCAAATGTTTTAAAGAGTTTATATTAATACTAATATATTATACTAATATTAATACTATTAATATATTAATAATAGTTTATATTAATACTATATTAATATATTAACTCCCTTTATATTAATAGAACAATAATGTCATTGTTAACTAATGAAGCAAACACAGATTAAAACTAAAGTAACCAGCCTGTATTGAAAATGTAAGAAGTAGAAAGTACAGGTAAAAGTAAAAGTAAAGATTTGTCAGAAAAATAAGTAGTGGAGTAAAGTAGGCCTACTGATACCAGAAACATGTACTTAAGTACAGTAACGAAGTATTTGTACTCCACTACTTCCCAGCTCTGCATCTTATAAAGGGTGAAAACGTAAATGTACCAGTTTGAGTGTGGTCTGAAGAGGTCCACATGTATGGAATAAGTATGGATAACACAATATACATGTCTTTATTTGTGTTGTTCTTTAAAAAGTACTCAAATGTCAGAGCGTCGATACACTAAATGACTGGGGACTTTTAAACTAGTTTCTGTTCTCTGAAATACATTTGATCTGTACCATTATCCTTCACCAAACTGTTGACATGGTTAAAAGCATACTTGTGCACAATTTATCAGCAGGAGAATTGAACACATTGTACGTGTCGCTGTATTGACTTTTCAGTTGGCGCTATTTTCAGTGTGCTGTCCTGGTAAAAGTATCAGGGTGAAATAACCTCAGGGCATGATGGGGGCTGCACTGGATCAATGGCTTCAAACCGGAGTCCTAGTTCGCAACAGCATGGAAACAGTGTCAGCTCCTGCGCTCAGTGAGGTCTCATCCGTTTCCAAGGGACAACAAATGAGCCCTGATGTCTCCACGAAGGAGTCTGCTGTTATATAATAGCTTTATGCTGAAGCATGTGAGACAATGACCCTAGAAAACATGTAAGTAAAACATATTTTTGGACTTTTCACCTAATGCCTGTTTGCTTTCCTGGCTCCTAAATGGTTGAATGAGCACCCCATTGATATCAAGAGAGCGGAAACTCCAGTCGCAAACTGAAAACCCATCTGTTTCGATTGTACCTTGGCAATTTAACTCTAAATAAATAAACAAAGGGTTAATTTAGGCCGTGTAACTAATTCACCAGAACTTAATATGGTATGATCTTGCTTGAAGTGAATATATCTGCACTTTCCTTGTTGTTTTGATTCTTTATGTTTTTTCACTTATTGTAAGTTGCTTTGGATAAAAGCGTCAGCCAAAGGAAATGTAGGCCTAATGTAGAAAATGTAACGCAATGAAAAGCCTTAAAATTGCTCTTTCTTCATCAACAGATAATAATAATATGACAGAAGATGGGGGATTGGAACTTATTAGGGAGTATTTTAGAAGAAGTCCACATTCATTCCACCATCGTGGGGAAGATCTGGCTCACCATCCTCTTCATTTTCCGCATGCTTGTGCTTGGCGTGGCGGCTGAGGACGTGTGGGACGACGAGCAGAGTGAGTTTGTCTGCAACACGGAGCAACCCGGCTGCAAGAACGTCTGCTACGATCAGGCCTTCCCCATCTCCCTCATCCGCTACTGGGTGCTGCAGATCATCTTCGTGTCCTCGCCCTCTCTGGTCTACATGGGGCATGCTTTGTACCGCCTGAGGACCCTGGAGAAGGAGAGGCACAGGAAGAAAGCCTGTCTGAAGGCTGCGCTGGAGAGCACGGACCCCTTGCAGCAGGAGGACCATAAGAGGATCGAGCGAGAGCTCAGGAAGCTGGATGAACAGAAGAAAGTGAGGAAGGCTCCTCTGAGAGGCTCGTTGCTCCGCACATATGTTTTCCATATCTTAACCAGATCTGCGGTAGAGGTGGGTTTCATTATCGGTCAGTGTGCACTGTACGGCATCGGTCTATCCCCTTTGTACAAATGTGAGCGGCTGCCCTGCCCCAACAGTGTGGATTGTTTTGTGTCCCGGCCAACAGAGAAGAACATTTTCATGATCTTCATGCTGGTTATTGCTGGAGTGTCTTTGTTCCTCAATCTCCTGGAGATCTTCCACCTGGGGGTGAAGGAGATCAAGCAGAGCCTGTATGGATACAAATATGGAGACGATGAGAGCGTGTGCCGGTCTAAGAAGAACTCTATGGTGCAGCAGGTGTGTGTGCTCACTAACTCCTCTCCGCAGAGGCTGATGCAGCTCACTCAGATGACCTGCTCTGCTGGCTCTGATGCCCAAAGGGGGAGTGTGGCCCTTGCGACCCCTCGCAATAAGGAGGGCTCCAACAGCCAGCAGCCTGCACACACATACCTGCAGCAGCCCAAGGGCCACTCAGCGGACAACAGGAAGCCGTCCTGCAGCAGTGACGAGTCCAATGAAGCGCACGGCTCAGGCCGGCCCCAGTATGCCGGACCCCGACCCACACTGATGGCCGGACACATGGAGATCCCCGCCGCCCTGAGGAATGCCCAGAGGAAGCAGAGCAGAGTGAGTAAGGAGTACAGCGACATGAGCGACTCTCCGGAGAGCGACCACTACCCTACAGCCAGGAAGTGCAGCTTCATGTCTCGGGACCTGTCGGACGGCATGCTGGCTTCCACGTCGGACAGCACCGGCTCCCAGAGCGGGGCAGACTTGGAGGCCCAGCACCTGAACCAGGGGGAGAGCCCAGCAGTGACCCCCCCACCCCCAGCCAGCGGGAGGAGGATGTCTATGGTGAGTAGAGACATGGTTTATGTATCTGCACTGTTAAGGTTACTTTAATTATTTGTAAAGTATTAGGTTGGTTAAAAGATATTAAGTTTACATAGGTTGAACTTAATATTATTGCTTTCAACCAACCTAATACAGTTATGTGAAATCTGTTGATATAATAGATTTAATTAAAGCCAAAGTGTCAGTTTTTTCAGTGTGGAGCCCTTATATGAATAAAAAGTATGACTATAAATCAAATCAAATCAAAGCTGTTGGCTTTACAGATGAACCAACATAGATGACAGTGTAAAATATCATTACATTTACCAGAGAATTATAAAATATACGATAGAATGTGAAATACAAATGAAATAGATAAAGAGAATGAGGTACAATAAAAAAGACAGTACAATGACAATAAAAACAAGCAAATAAAATACCATAAAATGTAGGACTCAGGACCCAGCTCTACAGGCTTTATTATAAAGAAAGGTTTTCAACACTTAACATTTTGGACACTGTCTGCCTTCCCTAGAAGTACATTTTAATAAAGAAGTACAATCAGTAGAAAAATTCAACTAAACCCCAGACTAAAATGTATGTTTCACTCATGGAAGTTTCAAGATGCCTAAAAAAAGAACATCAAACAAAGGAATAACACATCGTCTGTGATTTCATTTTATTTATGACTGCCTTCAGCAGAGACAGAATCAATATTCAGATTATTTACTTAAGTTAAAGTAGAAATAAGATGATTTAAAAATACTCCATTACAAGTGAATCTAATTGATACAATTTTTTACGTAAGTAGAATTCCAGCAGTATTATAAGCAAAAGGTATCAAAAGTAAAAGTTCTCCTTATACAGAATGGCTCTTTTCATAATAGATCAGTATTATGGTTCTTGTTATCAGTAACAAATACATTTCATATCAAATTAAATTTGAGTCAATTTAAGTTATTTTAAAGTACTGGGTATTGGTAGTACAGTAGCCTACTGCATCAGAGGCATCATCATGTATTGTATATGTACAAAGTAACTAGTAAATATTAATGTTAAATCAATTAAGTGGAGTAAATAATACAATATTTTCCTCAAAAATGTAATGGAGTAAAAGTATATTATGTAGCGTTGTCAGCACTTGTCAGTGACACTGAGTTGGGGGGTCTGGAGTAGGTCGCCCCCTGCTGGACAGCACTGGAACATACTGCAGCTCTCCACTGCTCTGTCAGAATCAGAACTCCTTCATTAGTCCAGCGGGGAAATGTTTTACAGCAAAAGTGGCATAGCACTAGCAGGTCAAAACAGGCTTGCAATAATAAAGAGCAAGCTAACTTATTAGAAAAGCACACAGTAATAAAATACACAGCCATAAGTACACATCCAAATGGCTCAAAAATAAGTAGCAGCATTTCAAAAATACTACTCAGTGCATGACATTAAGGATTTTGGGAGAAGGCTAATTTACAGATGGCCCTGAGCCCAATAGAGATTGCCCTGAAAAATGCGCGCGGACGAAATTGCAAGAAGGTTTTGAGGGGCCCCCTCAAAACCTTCTTGCAATTTCGTCCGCGCGCATTTTTCAGGGCAATCTCTATTGGGCTCAGGGCCATCTGTAAATTAGCCTTCTCCCAAAATCCTNCAATATAATATTGTGGTGGTTCATCTTATAATTCAGTCTAGAGAATGCACCAGACAGCATCTACAGTAAGACCTGCAAAAATCTAAATGTTCTTGGGGGAGGCCCCTCAAAACCTTCGTGCAATTTCGTCCGCGCGCATTTTTCAGGGCAATCTCTATTGGGCTCAGGGCCATCTGTAAATTAGCTTAGATGGCCCACAGGGCCATCTCCCAAAATCCTTA